TGCGCTGCAGCATGCAGGACACCTTCAGCAGGGTGCTGTGGTCCCGCAGCTGGGCCAGCACCTTCAGCAGGAGCACAATGGAGCGGTTCATGTGCCAGGCGAAGCTGCCCGGCCGGTCGATCTCGTCCACGGGGATCCGCCAGATGCCCTGCAGATGGGTGGGGGGTGAGCGGGGCTGCCCGGCCCAGGAGCCCGCCCCCTCCACTGGCCCACCACCCCGAGGTCCCTACGGCTCTAGGGACTGCCGCCCGGCCCAGGAGCCCGCCTCTTTCAGTGGCCCATGCCCTGGGGTCCTTGTAGCCCTGGGCACCACTCGTGCTCAGGCAGACCACCCCATGACAATGTCAAACATGTAAGTCCTCACTGCCCCAGGGACAACTGGTCCAGCACCCCACCATCCCCCACCATGGCAGCAGACAACGGCTGACGTGGTCCCAAACCCTCAACAGCTGTGTCACATACATTTCCTTGACACATCCCCCTAGGTGGCATATTGGCCATGCCTAGCCCACCATGGTGGGAGTGAGGGCTGAGGACGTGTGCCCCTCTGCACAGGAGAGGCTCAGCTGTGGGAGTAAGTCCTAGGGGTGGGACCACAGGTCCCCAGGTGGCTGCCCACCAGGCCTCCTGCCACGTCACACCAGCCAGTGGCGTCCAAAGAATCAAGGCTGGACTGACCACAACCTGTGGCCCCTGGGGTGCCGGGTGCGACCACCTCTGCCTTACTGGGCAATTCACTGGCGGGGATGCGCTCCCTGGGCCCCTGCTGAGCCTGCCACAGCATCTGACCACACTGGGGCCCAGCCACCAAGCTGAGGAATGACAGACGGCCACCTGATCAGGAAGGACTGAGCTGCAGCGCCCACACTCCGGGAGTCACTGCTCTGGGGCGGGGACCCTGGGGTCCTGGGAGCGCTCGGTTCCCAGACAGGTCCCTGCAGCCCCCGTCCCCCAGGAGCTCATGCTCAGAACAGCCCAGGCTGCCGGTGGCACAGCCATACCACTGCAGGGAGGGCTCCGGGGCAGCCCCACGCCCACCTGCAGCAGCAGTCACAGGGGGGAAGCCAGGGCAGCGCTGCCTCGAGCCAGCAAAGGCCCAAGGGGGACTCACAAGCCCTGCCTGAAGCGTCAGCAGCCACCCTGGGCTCAGGCGCAGGGTCGGGCTGGGACTCTGGGCTGAGCAACAGCCTGGCTGGTGGGGACAGAGGGGCCTTCTGGGCACACCAGAAGCTGAGGGTGGCAGCACCCAGGGGCGAATGCAGGCCCTGCCCATCCAGGCAGACCCAGCTGTGCTGAGGGGCCGCCTCTCGGAAGGAACACAGGGGAGACGGCACTCAGCAGCTGCCTGAGCTACGAGAGGCAGAGCCGCGAACCCCGGGTCCCGGCACCCACCCTCTGGCCATCAACATCCAGTGGGGAAGGTGCTGTCCCAACTGCCTCCAAGCCCAGGGACACGAGACTAAGGAAAGGAATGGACCCTCTGAGGTGCCCGTGTCCTCACCTCCAGGGGGAGCTCAGGGAGGGGGGCCACTGCCCAGGCCCCCGCGTCCTCCACCAGGGGGACCCCAGAGAGGTGGGCTCTCCCGGCTTGCTGTCTTTTTCTGGCTTCCACCAGGGTCAGTCAGAGACAGCTGCTGTCACTGTCAGGGTGACACGCATGTGACCAGAGTGTGTCCCTGCTTCAGCTCCAGTCCCCAGCTGGAGCGCAGACTCGAGGAAGCCTGGGTTTAGGGGTGTCCCACCTCCCTCTGCCTCCTCGCCGTGCCCTAGCCCTGGACACGCCCATGTTCACCTGGGCAGGTGGGAGGCAATTCCACTCAAGGTGGGCCCTAACATGCTACAGAGCCCCAGGTGCACGGCAGCCCCACACTGGGGGCCGTGGGGCAGGTAGGTGAGGTCTCTGTACATAATGGGCTGTCACTGCTAGGCAGAGCCGCCACGGGAACGTGCCGTGTGCTCACAGGACACAGCCCGCAGCTCAGGGCCAGCGAGCCCCCCCACGGGGCTAAGAAGGTGCTGCTAGAAAGAAACCCTGCAGGGGACGGGTGGGCAGACAAGGGGCGGGGAGGGGATGGGGGCACCACACAGACGCAAGGTGGAGGGTTTGGGGGCACTGCACAGATGTGGGGCAGGGGATTCAGGGATACTGCACAGATGCAGGGCGGGGGGATGGGGCACTGCGCAGATGCAAGGCATGGGGGTGGACAGGGCCCCACTCCCAAGTTTTGGTACCAAAGGCAGAGCGCAGTCCTGTGTATGTATACCTACGTCACCAGTCGGGGTCTGGTGGTGCAGTGGTTAAAGCATTTGGCTACTAACCAAAAGGCCTGTGGTTTGAACCCACCACCCGCTCCATGGGGAAAATGAAGCAGTTTACATCCCTGAAGTCTGACAGGCTCGGAGACCCTCTGGGGCAGTTCCACTGTGTCCTCTAGGGGCGCTGTGGGTCAGCATCAACCCCTGGCAGTGGGTGTGATGGGGGTCT